TCCATTTCTATTTTTATTCAACGTTCTTCCACCCGAGGGCACTCCGACGATCAAGTCAGTATATCTCTCAAGGATAATCAAGTGCTAAACTCACAAGCTTGAGTATAATACTGCGTACCTTAGACCCATGGGGGTGCCTCTCTTTTATAGTTTACTCAATCCAAGTCCTACTAGAAGCCTGACTTCTATGGACTCCAACTTAGTACTTACTTTGGATTCCTCAATAGATAAAGATAAACTCCCTAAGAGCTTTATCCTTATCTTAGCAAAGTCTTCTCTTTACTCTAGGACTCTTGTCCCTTATCCGCTTATCTCAGATTCTAATATCTTCGGAGATAACCTCGGCTTAACCGAGATCACCTCGGCGTCATGACCTGGACACGTGGCACCTCGGCTGACACGTTGGCGTCACCTTGCCACGTGTTGGTACTAGAAAATATATCCCCACAAATATATATATATATATATATATATATTTCTTGTTTATTTTTGTATTTCACTATTTATGTTAGGTCCTTTTAACCTTACCAAAAAATAAATCAATAAAATTATATCAAAACTGTAAAGTTTATTATTATTTTTTTAAATCTCAAAAGAGATTACTAGTATAATTTACGTTTTATATTTTTATTTTTTTTAGATTTGGTTTGAACTTTTGTTCTAGACTTGAGATCCTGAAACTATGGTTTGGGCCTTCTCGAATGGGCCTCAAACTTGACATTCGTGTCCATGACATAGTTATTTTGTACACGAAACCAATCTCTCATTTGATTCGGATAATATCCAGTTTTTTTTTTTGGGTGTGGGGGGTGGGGGTTAATTTTTAGTTATTTTTTTTAATAAGGCTACTAAACAAGAACACGAAAAAAAAATATTAGAAAAGTTCTAAAAAAAATTTAAAAGTTTGTCAAACAAGTTGAATTTTGTAGCTAAAATTTGGTTTTTATGGACTTTTGTGAGCCCATTCTCCTTTTTCCAAGTTATCAATGCCTAATGTTTAAGGTCACATGACCTGGTGCAATGGAAAAGTATCAAACCCTCAGGTTGTGTTCGCTTTATGAATTTGGATAGGAATTTAGAAAGAAAAACGAAAATATAAGTGAAATGTTAATAAAATTTAGTTATATTTCACACAACTTCTATATACTTTTTTCTTTTTCATTTTAAATCTTTACCCAAATCTATTAACAAAGCACAGTATTAAGGTAAGCCAATTCATATAAACTTGGGCCTATTACTCGGAATCTCCATTTCCTTCCTTCCCTCCTCCAAACCCAAAAAGAAAAATAAATAAATAAATAAAAATAAAAATGAGAAGAATATCAAAAAAAGTATAGTGTGAGCATAAGAAAATCAAAGTTATGAAGGCACAAAATTTCCTTGTATGAATTCACGCATAAATCACATGTACTTTTATGAATTTGACATTATTCAAGGGTACATGACCTGCTTAAATAGAAAAGCATCAGAACCCCTTGAGTTCAGTATGCCAACCAATTCATAGACTTGGGACTAATTCTTGGAATACCATTCACTTTCCTTCTTCTCTCCCCCTGCCCCCTCCTTTAGACCAAAAAAACAAGAAAAAAAAAGGCATATAAAAAATAGATAGAGAGGAAAAAAAGGGTTCAAATTCATAGAAATTAGAAAGCATGATTTACATGCACAAAACTATTGAATAAATTATTTGCATTTTTTATAAGTTTGAAATTATTGTCCTCCCAAGAGATTTACGCAAGACGTTCCCATATGTGACGTGAGAAGCTTCCTTTTTGCATTAAATTGTAGCAACATAACTCATATCACATAAAGGAATATTAGAATGATTCAAACATTAGTTCTTGTCAATTTCAATTAAAAAAAAAAAAAAACCAATAAATATATGTTTGAGGGAATTTTTTTTTTTTTTTTTTTATAATTGGTTATTCGGATTAGTTTACGTGCACCTCAACTAATCCTAGATGAGCAATTCTACCACTCACTTGTTGGGGTCCTATTTAAAGTCAGAACAAGTACTCTATATGGATTGACTCTAAAAAATTTATTGCAGCTAGTGAATATTGAAATTGAGATTTAGAAAAAACACATCCCTAAACTTAAAGTTGCGTCCATTAATCCAACCACTCAAGATTATGTTTGAGGGAATCTTACACACAATGTTCATTGTCAATGAATAATTGCTACATTCAAATATTCTTTTTTGACTTTTTTTGAGTCATTAGGCTGCCAAATTTCAAAAAGCAAAGGTGCCCTTTTCCTGAATTTCTTCATAGGATGACTCAATTGGGAGAAGGGGGGTGGCCAGTAATCCTCATTAGTTATTTTTTCTAACATGTAAAGGTTGATTAATGTGACACTCAAAAATGATTCTACATTTGAAAGTCAAAGACTTGCCAAACATTTGAATACCAATACACTCAATAACCTTGTGGTTTGAATCATATTTTTTTGTCGGAATCATATGATAATGGTCTTTTTTATAAATAAAATATATTTTGATAAGATTTTAAATTTAAAGTAATAAATTCACAACTCAACACATTATATATGTATATATTTTTTTTGTTTATATATCATAGTAATATTATACAAATACAAAAATATGTAAAAGATTTGTATATCTAAAAGATTTGTCAAAATGACGTGAATGAATTGTGAGCTTATCAATTCAAAAGAAAAAATCCAAAAAGATGTTATTAAGGGCTATTTTGGAAAGTAGGTTAAAAGCTACTTCTCAACTTTTAATCCATTTTCCTCTCTCACAAAAAAGTCAAAAAAAAATCAAAAAATAACTTTTAACCATCTTCCCAAAACACCTCTAATTGTAAAATGTGACCATCACATATTTTTGAGGGCTGCATTGTGAGTCTATCACTTTAAAGCAAAGAACCCACAAAGATGCTACTAATTATAAAAATGACAACCACATAATTGTGGTAGCTATATTGTAAGACTATCAGTTTAAAACCTAAAAATCACAAAGATGCTGCTAATTGAAAAAATATTATACTAATTATAAAAATGACAACCACATAATTGTGGTAGCTATATTGTAAGACTATCACTTTAAAGAGAAAAGTTAGGGATTATGAAATTTTTTTTATGAAAATGATCATGAAAGATTTATGATCTTTGGATTGCCTTGATTAGTGTGTGATGCTTTATTCTAAGTGTAATCCAATGGTCACAAAGCTTTCATGATTATTTTCATGAAAGATTTTTCATGATACCTATCATTGTTACACTTTAAAACCTAGAAACCACAAAGATGCTGCTAATTGAAAAAATATTTGTGTTTTACAAATATAAAAAATGTACAAATTTTTTATATAGAATAATGTGAACCACTTACTACGATTGTGTCATTTAAAAAATCCAAAGTCCATTATTCGCCAAGTAAATTATGTATAAATAAAATATTTCTTGTAACAAATTTTGTATAATTTTCTGAGGGAATAACTTTTCGTTTATATGATTACCTTTAACTGTTACCTTTATTTGTGCATAAATACATTTAACTCTTGTATGTTGCAATATGAAACTTGAGAGAGAGAGAGAGAATGGGTGCAAAAGCAAATGCGATGCCCATGGTGAGCAAGATGTGGTGTTCAACATCTCAAGTGGTTCTTGCAGTGAGAACGAGGCCACATGTTGTGTATGGAGGAGGTTTTGTGGTTTCAGATTGTAGTACCCAAAAGGTTGTTTTCAAAGTAGATGGCTGTGGAATTCTTGGTAAAAAGGAAGAAATGATTCTAAGAGATGGCAATGGTGATGCTCTGCTTCTCATCCGTCGTAAGGTATATATATTCTGAATTCTCAACCTTTTCAGAGGCTCAATTCAATCTCATGCATAAGATTCATCGGCATGCATGAAAATATATGAGGCACAGTTGAAATGAAAAAGGGAGTATTCATGGTTAGTTGATTAGATGCTTTGTTTTCCATTCTTGGTAAGATTATCCTCACCCTTTTGCCCTTAGAATGTTTAATTCATGCTTTTGCTCTTGTATGCTTGCATTTGGAGTTCCTACTGGCACGGGTTTGATTCACGAAAACAATATCTCCATACATGGAATGAGGCTGCGTACATATTGACCCTGCTTAAGTTTCGTGCATCGAGTTAGTTTTTTATTTTAATGATTGCATTTGGAGTTCATGGTATATAATATGACACATACTTCTTTGTTGTATCTATACAATAAGAGCATTGTTTTAAACCAGTATAGATAATAGTCGGTGGTCACACATATTCAGAGTTTATGGTTTTGGGTAAGTCTAAAAGATCCAACTTAGGATTGGTTCTCAGTTATAAAAAAGTGAAAAATGGGTTACTTAATTGCCTTTCCAAGGAAGAACTATCAGAAAATTGGAGGAAGAAGAGTAAAAAAAACTAAAATCTTTCATTTCGATTTGTCTTATTTTTTGTTGTAAATGGAATGATCAAAGAGAATGAAACGCACACAATGGTCATTACAACGGTTCCTTCTAATGCTAGAAAACTTCCAAAGAATAACCAAGTCGTTACAGTGTACCATCTGATCTTAGAAAACAACCAAATAAAAACTAAAGTCGGGTACATAATTGTTGTAATGTTTGAAAATTTTCATTTTTCTGTCAGATTTTAGAAGTCTGAGATCAAAATTCATATGCTTCATATGCTGCATTTTCCTGACAACTTAACAAAGCATAAAAAAATCAGCAAAAGAAGGAAAAAAAAAAAAAAATGTCTATGTTTTTGAATTCCATTAAATCATAAAATTTACATAATCCAAATTGAAAAAATCATCAAAAAGTAGTTGTTGTTGATTTGATCATCCCTTTGTTTTTTTGGTATTCAAGGGAGGTATAGTTGAGGCACTGAACATTAACAAACAATGGAAAGGGTATGCTTTTGACTATGAAGGATCACAAAAGTTGGTTTTCACCTTAAAAGAGCCTAATTCATGTCTCCTCAAGAAGAACAATCCAATCAGAATCTCAACTCAACACGGGGGTTGTGGCACAGCTTGGGACTTTGAGATCAAGGGTTATTTTCCAGATAGAGCTTGCTGCATTGTTGACTCCATTGGCAACATCATAGCTCAGGTAAACACCAAGTTTAACACCGAAGTGAACCTTTCGGTTTTGTTCTTTGAGGAACCGAAACAAACCATGTGCTACAATTCGATTTTGTTAGTTTGATGTAGAGAAGAATTCACATGAAATTTTCGAACGTTTTATAAAGTTTACAGAATCCTACATTAGGAATAAATGGGAAAAAAAAATGGTAAAAGTTGTTTTATAGTAGGCAAATTACATCAATAATCCTTATGTTTTAGTCTTTTGTGTTATTTTAGTCCACGTAATTTTAATCGACTTGATTTTGACTTTCAATTTATAATTTTGTCAAAATTTGATCCAATTGATTACAACTAATAATAGTGTTTTTTACAAGAAAATGCATACATAAGCACATTTCTAGACAAACTTGTTAAATTATGTGAGTTATCCTCGACCAACTTACTAATAATTTTTCTTCAAAAATCCTAATCAGAGTTGTCAATTGAATCAAATTGACACAAAATTTAAAATTAAGAGTCAAAATTGAGCTAATTAAATTTACAGGGAGCAAAATAATATATATAAAGAGCAAAACAGAGTGACTACCGATGTAATTTACTTTTTAATAAATGTCTCTCCTAGTTTTTATTACAAAACCTAGATTATTAATCACTTATCTTTTAATATTCAAAAAATTAAAATATGAAACCATATAAATATAATATTTCGATTCATTCAGTTTATATGATATTTAACGGACTTTAGCGATCAGTTCAGTTCGGTTTTATCAATTTTTCTTATAGCCGCAGTGATTTGCATGCAGGTTGATATGAAGAAAGAGGTAGAGGCGTTGATGACATCGGCAAGCAAAGATCTGTATCATGTTGTTGTGAAACCAGGAGTTGACCAGGCCTTTGTTTTTGGAATCATTGCTGTTCTTGACTACATCTATGACGGGTCGACCCGGTGCTGATCCTTGAGTCATAACTCGGTGAAGAAGATAACAAGCTGTATAGTCAACAAATCATGGTTTATTTTCTTTTTGTATAACAATCAACTAATTAAGAATTCTATGTTTTTGGATGTATTTGCCAGGCAGAATTCTTGTTGTATGAAAACGATTTTATGTATTGTTATTTGTTATGCTGACATACAGTTTCCCTTTTAATGTTTATAAAATTTTTAAAAATTGTTACTTTGTTCTATAAACAAGTCTTATTCTCTCCTTCATCACGTCCAGCAAGTTTCCTCACTACGGACCACCAATAACCACCTCTAATAATTCTTCACACCAGTTTGAATTGGCCGTCACTCATTCTTTTGTATTCAAAATAAATTTTAAAAAACATGTTTTCTAATTTTGTTTTTAACAAAAAATTTAAGTATAAACATTAGCACTGAGGATCATCTTTCCCAGACCGTTTGTCCCCATCTCATTTACTCGTAGTCTTTAAATTATTTAAGATTCTCATTCTCATGCAACTAAAAAACTTATAGAGAGGTCAATCTTGGCTTAGAATGAAAGGTTGGCAACATGCTTAACACTTGCAAGTCGGATAGTGTTTCCAGTGGCGAAAAGATGAGTAATGCATAAGAACTCGCCCTTGAGAGGAGAACAACAACTAGAAATGATTGCTAACATCTTGTAAGCTGTGGAGCAAAAGAGGAATCCACCGTCTAATTAGCAAGTTGGTGAGGCAATAGCTCACCAAGGCAAAAATAAATTAATTAATTAAAAAATTGATACATTTAAGAAGTAGATAATGATATATACGAACAAAATTATAAATCAAAACACCCATTAGTGTCACTTATGATTGCAAGATTGCCAATGCCATGTTATTCTGAATATGTTTCATGTACAAATTTTATGTTTATTTATACATAGGATAAGACGCCTCCTCACCCTGTCCTGCACTTTGGTTTGGTTTTCAAAATTAATTTTCTGATTATTTTTGAGAAAATAAAAACAAATTTGATTGTCTCAAATTATATCCCCAATATAGCTTCTTTGATCGACTCTGCACATCCAACACCTCAATTCCAAGATTATTTAATAGAAAAACAAAAAACACATCTTTGATTTCACAACTATACCAATAACACAAAATTCACACAATCTTAAGATCAAAATACACTTACACAGCACACACACACACACACAGAGAGGTCAAGAACAAGCACAAGAGTTGTCAAGAATGGCAGGCGACTCATCTTCCTCATCAGCCCCAGTCCTAAAAAAGTAATAGCCAACAGACAAACCCAAAACCACAGCGCAAAGCACACCTCCATTGAACGACATGATCGAAAGCATTAGAAGATACCCGATCGCCGAATTGAGCCCGAACAGAGCCGCCGTGGCCAGCCTCTTAGGGCTGTGGTTGCGGCAGAGTTTGGAGAGGAGGGGGGTCTCGATCGGCGGTCGAACTGAGGCGGCGGAGGAAGAGGAGGAGGAAGGGGATTTGAATCGGAGGCGAAGATCTTCCATGAATTGGTAGAAGAAGGAGACGAGGAAGAGGGCGAGGAGAGTTAGGGCGTAAGAGAGCCATGAATCGGTAATCCACCAGTCGAACAAGAGGGTTAGGTCTGTGCCCCAGTACATCGTCATGTGCATCATCTTCTTCTTCTTCTTCTTCAATTCCAGATTTCTGCAACTGTTAATTGAGAGAGAGAGAGAAAATTTCCCGAGAGACAGATGGTACTGAAAATTCAAACAACCTGTTTAGATAGCGATTTGGATAGAAAAGAATTTTTTTTTGTTTTTGTTTTTGTTTTTTTTTGTCTTGATTATCTTTTTCGATTGAGCAAATATTAGGTATTTATTAAAAAATAGATTTTAAAAAAAATTCGTGGATCAAATTTATCAGTATAGTATTGACCCACAACCTTAAGGTTTGCTTTATTTAAGCGATTTTTTTTATTATTATTTTATGAGTCGAAACAAATTAATGGTCTCGTTTGGGAAGTGGCTATTTTAGTAGGTTATTTGGCTATTTTAGTAGGTTGTTTTAGTTTTGTGTTTGGGAAGATGAGATGAATTTTTAGTTGAGTTGCTGTATTGAAAAGTGTGTTGAAATGATGTTTAAATTTAAAATGACATATTTATCCCTAACTTTTTTATTTTTAAAATTGATATAAAGGGGCAAAATAGTAATTGCGCCCTTGATGTTACACTGTGCAGCTGTGACAGTGTAGGCTGTGCCTACACTGTCCCGTGCCTGAGCCTATTTATTTATTTATTTTATTCTATTTATTTATTTTTTTTATCAGAGAAAAAGGTGCTACAGTAGGGGCTTATGGACTATTTTCCCAAAAGAGGCTATAATAGCCTGAACCTCTTATTGCCAAACACCCCTATTTAAAAATATATTTTTTTACTTTTTCCTAATAAAATTTTCCTTCTAATGGTCGATAGAACTTATAGTTTGATTATTGATTACTGAACTGGCAATTCTAATTGAGTACAACCTTTAATGCATTGATATACATTTTTTTCATGGCAAAAATGTTAGTGTAGGGTCTCTTTGTTTTGGGTACTTTCATTTAATGCATTGATATTCAATTTTTATTTATAAACTCATCAAAAAATTGTTATCACAAATATATAAAATGAATCTGATGCCTAAATTCGCTGGGAAAAAAAAAACTCGAAAATTAATTTTTAAAGAAAAAAGTGTAAACCGCAAACCGCCCGCACATTTGCAAACCCTATCCGCACAAACTGCAAACCGCACTGCGGGCGGTTGCGGGTTGACGTTTTCCTAAACCGCATAGATGCGGGCGGGTCAAAACCGAACCGCAAACCGCACAAAATCGATCCGCGAACACCCCTACTTCCCATGAACCAAACACCTTGGTCATCACACGACAGATAGCAATTGAAAATTCAGACAACCCTGTTTGGATTTGGCGATTTAGATGAAAAGAAATTTGTTTTTGTTGTGAAACATGTGTTTGTAATGAAAAATGGTTAAGAACACTAAAAGTTGTGTTTTAATAGCACCACTAATAATGTGACAGTGGGCGTCGTCTTTTTTTTTGTTGACATTCCTAATGTATTAGCACTATTAGTGATCTTTTTTTTAGTGGTATAAATCATTATTGTGTTTGTAATAGAGGTATTCTTTTTTAGCACTGATTCAGTGCTCTAATTTTGGAGCACTAATGCCAATTCTAATGCTCTAGCAAAGCAAGAAAAAAAAAAGTCAAACTATCACATCAGTGGTAGGGTCTACATCCTCCATGTCATTGATGGTTTATTGGTTGTGTGAAATTAATGATTTCAAACATTTTTATTTTTTTTGGATTAGAAGTAATAGAGGTATTCATGGGTTGGTTTGGTTCGATATTAATTTAGAATCAATTCAATTATGATTAGTTTTGAGTTTTTCGAAGTAAAATTAAACCAATTCAACCTAATGTAGCTCGGGTCGGTTCGAGTTAGAATCACACTTTCACTATATATAAATATAAGTGCATCAATTAATAATAAATAACTAAAATAAACAAGTCTTTAATATTTAAATATAATACAAACAAAGAGCAAAATATTATTTAGTTTTAGCCAATATAAATTAAATTCAACTCAAACTTAAACATAATCAATACAAATTATATCTATTAATATAATAAATACAACTTAAACGAACTACAAAATCCAATTCAGGCTTCTAATATTTCAATCGTTTATCTAATAAGGTGCAATCAAATCTATTGTAATAGCTTAATTAGGTGAAGACATTTCAAAATAAATGAAATTTTAAAATATATATAGGTTCGGTTTTCAAATTAGTTAAATTTAGGTAAAATCTAAATCAAGAATCAATTTAATCATATCGATTTAATGAATTGAAAATCCAAAATTAGACCGATGTACTAAAAATCCAAACAAGCTCAATTCAAAGAGCTCAATTTAATTCGATTCTTCAGCTGGTTGGCTAATTTGAATCCCTAATTTGTATTGTGTCTGACCACTACTTTCTATATAGCGATTATAGGTTACATATGTAGGAGTCAATAGCACTATTTAAGTAGATGAAATAGTGCGATGAAATATTATTAACTATTAATATGATAGTGAAACAGTGGTAGGTATATGTAGGTGGAGAAGATGAAGAAAAGAAGTGGGGAAAAAAAAATAAGAAGAGAAAGAAATGTAATTAGTGAACCATAAATGTAATTAGTTGCATATGTTAAAGATGGGGAGAAAAACGTGAAGGTGACAAGTGAAGGTTGAATAGTACCCATATGTTGATATAAAAAATCTGCAACGTATGGTTTTATATGATTTGTGAGAGGGTAATTTGTGTGAAAATTGGGCTGAGCTGGGAGATGGTCATTATGGCCCACAATACGAAGGACTGAATAAAAAGGCCGTAAAATTACTCCGGCCCAAGAGAGGTACAAAGTTACTCCGGCCCGAGAGAAATGTAATGTTACTCCGGTCCGGAAGCGACTTGGAGTTAGGCCGGTCTAAAGACACTTCGAAGTTAGTCCGGTCTCGGAGTTAGCCCGGTCATGGCGTATTGTGGTTAGAACGGTCAGAACCTTGCTACTCGGTAGCTCGGTCTAACCACGCCATTTCTTTGTACATGGGAGAACCGAGATAAGGTGTAGCGAAAGGAACAACCGAATTAAGGATAGTTCGGCTTACTCAGTGGCTCAGCATAACCATGATTACTTCGGTCATATTGGAGTTCGGCCATGGTAAAACCATCTCACTTGGTTTAAGCAGTGAGGGGGTGTTGAAGGATAAGCATTATCTTTCAGGAATATGAATCCTACGAGGACTCTGCATGGAGGAGTAGAAGTCCTACTAAGATTGTGCCACACGAAACCTATAAAAGCTCACAAACATCACATTTGGAAGGGTAACACAACTTTGCTTTCTGAATACATAGAGCTTTTGTCTATTTGTCAAGCTTACTGACTTAGGCATCGGAGAGGTTTCCGGCACACACCCGCCGGCTAACTCACGTTTGTGTTTTCAGGTGATAAAGCAACGACGTACAGAGGAGTGCAGACTTGATCAACAGGATTATACGAGAAGGTTTATTTCTTTCCCGTACAATTGGCGCCGTCTGTGGGAAGAACAGACAGAACAAAACCTCTTGATCAAGCTTTACCTCTTTAGGAACAATGGCACACATTGAAGAATTGCCACAGTCCGCCATCGACGGGCAAACTCCATATAGGGGCGCAAGGCGTGAAGGATTACCTTCTATCCCTCCCATGGCGGACTTGGAGTCCCAACGGCATAACCCCAGAAGAGATACTAGGGGAAGGCGGACTCACAGCCCCCGTCACTCTCATTCACAAAGTCCTGACAGGCAAAGGCGGAGGATTGATCCTCAAATTCTGGAGGACCGCATGAAGGAGCAAGACGAATTAATAAGGAAGATGGCGGCCGACATGGAAGCCTTGAAGCGCCAGATGAAGGGAAAAGGAGTGGCGACAGGAGAGGGGCGCAAAAACAAGACGCCCCCTCACCGCTCAGAAGACCATAGAAGGCATTCAACGCCATCACAAGCAGAGAGTAGAAGCCTCAGGACAGGCAATACTCAGTCTGGAACCTCCAGAACTCGTTACTCCAGATCTGAGAGAACGAGATCATTGAGGTCTTACACAGAGGGGAGTACCTACCGACCCTCACACTCGCACCAAACATCATCCAAACAGACGGAGTTGCCAAGATCATCCGATTTGCGGATCATGCTAGAAGAAAAGGCAAGATGGAAGGAGGACACCAGGGCGCGCGATCCTCGCAGAGTTTCTGCCCTTCAACGATTGGCTCCTCGATCGCATGGAAACGTCGAGGTTGGAATGCCATTACCACGCCCTGCCTACGAACCGACGGACAAAGCATTAGCAAGGCTGCAAACCTCGCCGTTCGTTCCGGTAATCGAAAACGCGCCCCTACTTACAGGCTTCCTTCAGCCCAAATTCACTACATACGAGGGGAAGACGGACCCCTACATTCACCTAAGCCACTTCCGCCAGGTCATGGCGGTATATCGGCGAAACGAGGCTCTAATGTGCATCCTCTTCCCATCAAGCCTTGGTGATCTAGGCTTGACTTGGTTTGAAAAACTTCCAGAAGGCTGCATAGCCTCCTGGGCACAATTGGCAGAAGCGTTTGTCATAAGGTTCAGAACAAACACCAAAACCCCAGTGGAGATCGACCAGCTACTCTCCATTGACATGGGTGAAAAAGAGACATTAAGGTCCTACAATAGTCGCTACTGGGAGACATTGCCATTGCACAGTACAAAAGAGGCCTTCCAGTTGGGAATAGACTAAGGTACTCGATCACCATGACGCCACCCCTCACCATGGAAACCTTGATGGAGAGAGTGCATCAGCACATCAGGGTAGAAGAGGATGGCGCACGTGCCAAAACAAAATCTGGCACGACCATAGTACCAGAAAAAAAGGCCTTAGTAAAGGTCAATGCGGTAGATCGTCAGAACAGAAACGGACGTGGCAGGCGTGACAATGGAGAGGACCCGGATAAAAGATGGTTGAGGGTCCGCACGGCCATAACCACGGTATTCAAGAAACCGATCTATCAAATTCTAAGTGAAATAAGAGATGAGCCTTTCGTCAGATGGCCAGTCAAGTTAGGGGAAGCTCAGAAGGACTATGACGAAAGATCACGGTGCACCTTCCACAAAGAAAAGGGGCATCGCACTGAAAATTACACGCCATTGAGACAGCACCTGGAGGAGTTGGTGGCAGCAGGTCACCTGGATAAATACATCGAATGAGGGGC